CCCGACACAATTACTTTCGTTCCAACCATGTAGATACAACAAGCGTTGCTTAATAATGTTTCCATATTGACAGTTATTTGGCCAACCTCCGCTCCCGACAGCGACGTGCGCAGTGCAAAGACGATTACCACAGCTTGCCCAATCGCAAACGCCGCTTAAGCACAAATTTCTTGTGAAAGTAAGGATGATAATGGAAGCAACGCCATGCGGATATGCTGTCACAATAAACACGTCGTCTTCTATATGGGCAGAGCGTGCGCACCCTGTTTATCTTACTACAATGCGCTATATCCGTCCAATTCACAGAGCAACCGCTTATTTCGGAAACATCTGGACTGTTCGGTATATAGCAATTGTATCGTTTAAACAAAACGTACACCAAATGTGCTGCAATTCTAGTAAATTTATCTTAAACTATACTTACAGTTTGTTGTCGATTTACATTTTCTCGGTCAAGTGTATCATCCAGACATTTCAACCAACGCCATTATATTCGTCACTATTGTATTCAACTCATATGTAAAAATATTAATAATAGCAGAGCACACAGCCCTTCCTGCCAAGTACTGCGTACGACCATTGCCACCAACATTCACCTTGGAAGGGACACTGAATAGAAAAATATTTAGTAAACGCTAATTTCTTAATCCCAAACACACCACTTTTACCACGAGAGGGTGCTTCGTAAAGGAGAAAACACGCGAAAAGAAATTGCGGCTGGAGATGACACCTTGAGATTATACCACAACAAACAGCGTAATGTGATAGACTCTGGCGGGGTTCACTAGTCCTACGTAGCTCTTAATCGGTAAAGATGAAGTACATTGTCATTTGTGGGAGCCACAGACGTAGCGTAAGAAGTTTCACAAAACTACATCGAGCAAATGTTGTGAAATTGCGAAAAAAAAGGCTTCAAATCACTGACGTCGCGCGTAAAGATATTGGCACGACATTTTAAAATGAAAATTCAACCTAGATTTTCTCCTCTGATAATGAACTTGTGATGGTGAAACGTTCGACGTTATACTTCTCGGTTAACAATTTATCAATCTAAACTGAGACATTGTTTCACTTAATTGTCTTTTTAAGGAACACTCGGGTGAAACACTGTATAAGTTTCGACTGACAAACTTTTCCAAACCAAGGCAATCGTCGTTAGTTGCGCCATTTTATTTTAAATATTGGAAGCAAAAAAAAATGGAGGTAAAAATTTATTTTGACTTTTGGCACCGAAATTGAAACCTTAGTATCACTGATACGTCAAAGGTTTCAGTGTATTTTTTTTCGTATTTTCGCTTAATCAGTTGTACGATTTCCTAAATGTTTATATCTCAGAGTTATTGTTCGCTTAGTACCCAATTTATTTCAGTTTTGTTGGTAAAAAATTAGGAAAATCCCTAATTAATGTTATCAAAGCACGTCAAGTCACAGAAAGGTAATGTGGAAGTGTTGGTTCCACCTGTTCATTTTTTTTTATTTCCCGCTTATAAAGAGCATTCTCGAAGCAAGAGTTGAGGTTTCTGCATTGCGAAAAGGTTTTTTACTGATAAAAGTGAAATCACTGTTTTCGTTAGAGTACCATAGAAATGACTTTTTTTGACCACAGCTCTACACAATCCATATAGTATCACTTCCTTAGGAGGTCATGACCGGGCTTGTGAATTGCATATTTTAATACAGCAGGCTCTCAATGAGCTCAAACTGACGATGAAAGAGAACGTATAGGATTTGATAATCCGCCTTGTTGTCGTTTATTCTGAAACACCTGTGGTGCCTGCTTTAACAACAGTGAGAGCTTTGTGCAGATTACTCAGTTGACCTATTACATTTTCCTCTACACTTAACTACATAAATATAGAGCTAGAGGTAATTTAAATAAAAACGTTCAAAAATTATTGACTAGTAATTATGCGTGAAAAGTTATCACTTTCCTTAAAAGTAACAGCTAAATATTTCAGTACCCTTTAAATACCACTACCCTTTTTTTAAAGGCGATGCTCATTTGCACACCGTAATAACTGAGAAAAACATAAAATGAACTAAGAAAAAGTTGAGTGAACGTCATAAAAGTGAGCAAACTGTCAAAACCAACTTCTGAGAGGACAACACTTGTAATATGTACAGACGGGTCCACTGCTAAAGGGAACACCTGCGCGAGCAGCATGTTTAGATTTCGCTATCTTACGGAATCATAGCGTCTTAGATATGCATAAGGCTACTGGTGGTTAAAAGTTGCGACTCCTCTTGACAGACTATTGACTTGCGTGCAGATTGTTCCTTAATCCGCTTGCTCATTGAGGGCCAGCGATATTGATGGTGTGCAATCGAGTGTTCCCTTTAACAATGGTCCACACTGCACATTGTTGTGCACACCACTAGGATTCGCTGTTAGTAATCCAGCAGCGGGAGTGAATAAAAAACATATACTAACATTCCAGGACGTCTTCGAGTTCTGGTTCTTCATGCGCATGTCCGTTGCCAATGCCGTTTGTGTAAGGAGTGGGGGTCGCTGTGACGGCTGCGTGCACCGGGCCATGCAAGTTGTTAGCCACACTGCAATTCACTCGGTTCATCAATACGAGACGCGCGTGCTGTTAGCATTCACACCTGTGCCCGTCGCACTGCAACCCTTTGGGTCTATAGAGTTTCACAATATAATATTTAGAAGGGAATCTGGCCCTACTGTCTATGCGGGCTCCTCCAGCGGTACTTGTACCCCACGGGAATGATGGGTAGTACAGGTCCGGATATGCTTCAGAAGGATTACGCTCTTGAGATTCGCAACGCTTGTCTTCCGAATGTAGAACAAAGTAATATGAAGTTACTTCCACTTCAAACTTTCTTTATTCGCTTGAACGTAAAACTTATTGCGAAGAGTTCCAGAAGCCGTAAGATGGAGGTTAAACCTGGACAGGTTTCACCACCAGGGTATGCATTGCTCTGCCACTGTATTCTAGATTTTCTATAAGGATATATTGAAATATTTTTGCAACACTTGAAAACAAACACGCGTCTTTCACCCTCGAAGGTACGCATTACCTATTTATGAAAATAACAGTACAGTATTGAGTGAGAAATTCTTAATGTATCGTCTGCTGCGATGCCAGGTGCGTCTGTCCACGTGGTCTGCCCCCAACGTATCTCCCGTTTTCACGAGACTTCAAGTCAAATGAGCTTGATGTGGCGTCTACTTTGCTTCACCGTCATCTTTCAGGCGATTTAAACGACTTTTGGCAAGACGCACCCTTAAGAAAATACGATCTCTATGCAATATTTTGAACTGGACTTGGACGCTACATCTATGCGAAGCGATGAGTGCTAAAACTGACAAATATAACTTGTAAAGCTGCAATGTGACAGCAGATGAATATACCTAGTGGTTTTCAGCCTCCTTCAACTACAAAGACAGTGCTTCGCACCACACCCCACTACCCACGCAGCGCGAAGAACGTAACAGAAGCACTATAAAAATCTTTGGACAGTTCACTAGCTATCAATATGCAAGCTGAAGGCTGTACTTCCCATCATTCCCAAGGTGGTACAACGATATCAGCAACAGTTTCCTTTATAGGTTACTGCATGAAACTGTATGCATTTGGCCACTTTGCGGACGTGGCGTTGTTATTCATGTCGAGTGCACACAAGGACACGAGACAGTAACAACATGCAAGATGAATTAACTGAGTCACTGTAGTAGTACAGTTTAACCAGACACAGGGGCGGGAGGGGAAGGATTGCACGGTGGGGGATGAGGATAAATATATCAGCTTTCGTTGATGAAATGTATTCTTGAATGTGTGTCCTGCCTAATTCATTACACTTAGGGCTAGACTAGACATAATTACGGCAACACTAAACGCAACAAATAAAATTAAACAAAACCTACACATCGTTCGTGACCATTCTTACGCAACCCTAGATCAGCCACTCCTCCAGCTGGCAGTTTCCAAAGTTCGCTGTAGGTTGGGATCAGTTTAGAAATGATATCCCGCTGAACAGTAAATACTTTATGCGAGGCTGAAAATTTCATTAGCTCCGCACATTTCCCTTCATTTAGTTGAAGTGCTAAATATGTCCAAATTTTAAAAAAAAGGTTCTCATTTTATGACATACTTGTTTGGGCGTGACCGATTCAATGAATTATGTAACAGTTTACATGGATAGAGATATATTTTTTAAAGCATGCAGAGAGAAATACGTGTCAATTTACATCTAGTTTAGGGACGCTGCTGCCTCTATGATTGGAGAGCCGCTAGGCAACGACCACTCATACACTTGATCAACTGACAATATTTGTGCAGTGCCTGCGATGATGTGCTCGTGACACATGGCGTGCCTACATGATCCGGTAATTAGAACTGTATCATTTTTCTCATCACTTAACGAAAAAAACTGCTGCAAGCTCACACTGCGCGTTTAATTCACAAACTTGGAAAGCAAATCAACATACAGTTAAAATGAATGGAATACGATTCCTTTCTTGCTGAGTATAAAAACGCAGTCTAAAACAGCGTCACCATTCACAGAACATGGAGCTCATTTTTCATAAATGCAGAGAACAAACCTCTCTGATCTAGAGTATCAATATCAAATACTGAAAAACGGGAACAGCTGCCGAAAAAGACACCGTATTCAAAAAAATTTTTGTTACGCTATAAATTGTTTATTTAGTATAGATGTAGCTGCCTTTTTTTTGCAAAGAACGAATGTGTAATAAATTGTAGATAATAAACTAGGCGTTATGTCTTTATCTTTGAAAATTGTAGATGTAATTGTTCAAACATCTATAACATAATTGATTGATTGATTGATCAATTGATCGATTGATTGGTTAATTGATTGATTGTGCATGGGCAGTTGGCAAAACTTTCAGTAAAGGTCTCATCAATATTTGCTCTCATTAGGTGTGAACGGGCTCGCCAACAAAGCATCCAAACATCCGTATAGTGGTCAACGCTTACAGGCTACACGTAAGTATCTTCTGAATTCGCGGCTCTTACCTGGTATCGGACGGTGGGCGTCGGCCACAGGTGCTGTCACAGGATGCAGTGGTGTCATGCCACCGAACGGTGGAGTCGTCTTCGCTGACTGCCAGGTGAGCAAACGGAAAGAGGGGCGTCAGTTCCAGGGAAAGCGTTCTTGCGCTTTCCATTTGTTTTCTTACTGCTGTAGCTTCTTCTCGTGCTTTATGGGTGTGTTATAAGCCGCTACCACGTTTGTCTTGTTCCAGAGCAGTGAATCATTTTTGTATGTATATTCTACCAGTGTAAAGCCCAAGTATGGCGGCGTTCAATTCCAGACCTCTTACGAGTGCAGTCATACGAAGATTACTGACATCAAAAATAATCACAGTGCACACACAGCACGGAACATCAAAAAATATACCTGAAAGGCATTTTTGTGAGAAGTTAATGCAGAGCGAGAAGAAGCATTTTGACACACTTGAAAATGGGCTAAAATTAATTTCTTCAGAAGAGGCATCGCCTAGGTCTTAATGCATTTAGTTGATGCCAACTACTCTGTGGCACTTGATGCAACTCTGACTATTCAGGTTACCACTTTGTCTTTGAAATAACTCTTAGGCACATCAATCACTTGTAGCTAAGTATTACACACTCATTTGGATTATTCTCATAGTCAGGTCTTATTAACGAGAAGTAAAGATGAGTATTTACTAGTTAACACAGGGCATCTAACCAACGAATAACTTGTAAATTTATTTCTTTGCGACACACATTGTAACCTTTTAAATTGTTGCTAGGGGTGTCAAAATCCTCATCAACATATTACAAGATTTAAACATAGCAGCAGTGCACGTTCTGAATGTCTGCAACAAAATGCGTTGGCTCACAGTAATTTTTTTTTGTTAGCTTCGGTGTTAAAAAACGTTTTGATAGTGAAAAGTTTGTGAAACATGAGTGCCTTTTTGGCAGATTCAGCACTGCCAGTTCTTTTCTTTTTTTACGTTGTTGCTGTTGCTATATCTGTGATTGCGGGATAGCCGACCACTGAATATTCAAGCATTTATTTCTCTTTTTCACATTTATTGAATAAGAATGTGACAGCAACGCTTTTTTCAAACGTCGGCAAGTTCAAAATCTTTCTCAAGGAGGCCTTGTCAGGTGACTAGCTTCCTCACGTGAATCTCAGTTTTAGTGATAGAGGAATTGGTTTAAAAGTCAGGGCAATTTCTAATAAATGATCGTTTTTTTTACATTTGAATCCAAGCAGAAAGTAAAGCCGGATTTCACGAAAGCTTCATATCAATAATTTGAGTGATGCGTATACTTTACACGTGATGTTTAGGAATTCTTTTAGCGTTCCCACAAGTAAATGAAACAGTGTAGTGAGTCAATAGCTTAAGTAAAGCGCTTGCGCTCGATTAACTTTAGCTTGTTCCTTAACTCATTATTGCCAGGCATTTCTTGCGTGTGTTGTAGACGATGTGTGCTTTCCCGCCAGAGAGAAAAGCAAAGGCGTCAAGAAAAATATAAAAGATGTATTTTTCTTCCTGTGCTTGTCATTGTATGCGTGTATGGGGAGAACCAGCGCTGTTCACATATACGTGCTTAACTTTGGGGTTAGATTGCATTTAGGCCCTGTATGAGCCGAGGGATAGATTGTAGTCTCGGGCATTTCACCTCAAGAAGTGCTGGCATGTGTGAAACCGCAGTGCGACTTACCAAGCTCTAAAGAGTAATAATAAGGTTTTCAGCTTCGTACAAGTACATTGAAAATATCTGCTCTATCAATAACCATGTGCGTGTTTTCAGTGGAGCGACGACATATGACAGTAAGCGTTGTCACCTTGCGATTGAACATAATGCATCAAATGTGCGGGCGTACTTTTTGTTTGCCTTGTACAAGCATTACAGGCTATAGCACAGACAATCAGTCGCTAGTCCTTCGCAATAACTTAAAGACGACCAAAAAGTTAGTTATTGGCCTAGCCATAAGCTGCAAAGTGTTTTGCGCAATAGGGAGTTTTGGTGCCGGGGGCACAAAGCGGGTTGCGTACGCACGCTTTTACTCTCCTTTGTATTCTCCATGGGTACTGCCGAAAGTACAAAGAAACGTAAGAGCGTGCGCATGTTTGCGTTTGTTCTTGTTTTTTTGTGTGCACTAGCTGTCCTTCATTTCACGTGTGCCATAGTGTTCATAAAAGCGAGAATGAAGTGCTCAGAGCATTAATGAATCGTTTGCATGCCCCTGAAGTTGTATTTGACTCCTATCCAGCACAGTAGCGACAAGATTAAGTAAGTATAGTAGCAATGCACTAAAGGATGAAGCGTATTCGTTTACTTTGCTAAGTCACTACGTTGAGACGTTGAGGACGGGCAACACCAGCAGCATACACATGCTGCTAGCATTCGTCGCATCTCGTACACATACTGCAGCATGGCTCGTCGCATCTCGTGTCAATTTTTCGTATTGTTTGGGGGGCCTCTAGCTACGCTTGTTGCGCCATTGCAAGGAACCACAAATATGCCCTTTCATGTTGTTTTGTTTAGCTTGTGTAGCGTAATGCAAGAGCCCAGGCTCCGCGCTATCGAAAATGCTGTTTGCGAAATGAACTTGACTATGACATGTTACTTACAAATCCAGTAAATTTTCCATTCCTGTCAGCAAGCTTAGGCTCTCCTCCGCTTTACGCGAAGATATCTTAGTTCGGGCAATAGATATCAATAACAGTGGCTTGTACGAGATGTGCACGTTGATAGCTCGATGTGCATGTATAGTTAGCCTGCTACTCGCAGGAAAGAATTTCTTGCTTTTCATTCACCACTGTAGTTGTGTAAAGTCTTAATAGGATTGGCTTCCACTTGGAACGCCTTACCTGCGGAGTCTGCGGCTTAGAACCCGCCACGGGAGAATGCGCTGACACCTGGCGGAAATCGGACCGCTGTCCAGGAAACAACAGAAGTGCCGCAAGAAAAAAAGAGACCAAAGCGACAAACTCAGCAAGATGCAGGGGTGTTCAAATGTGCAAGTCAACACGGCTCGCATGCAGCTAGCTCACAAACCGCGCGTTCAAACGTAGCTGTTGCAAATCACACCACACTACATGAAAGCACAAGGAAACATGCACTCTCTTCTCACAGCCATTCCTCCTTCGCTGAGGCCTTCGAATTTCAGCCTGACATGCCTCCCGAATATATTGAAGAAAGAAACAGCACGCAATAGACATATAAATTTATACAGGTCCCAGAGCCACAGAATTCGTTTCAAGACTGGACAAACTTGGCCGTTTCTTGCCTGTGCTATCCCATTTTTATGTGTTAATAATAATTTCGATTCTTAACAAACAAGTCATTATTCTTGCCCAGAAAAAGTATCAAACATTTTTTTTATTATTTGAACACTGAACGTCTTATGCATAAGACACCATTTGAAGCTGTTTTTCGTCCCTTAAGGCTGATATTACTGGCTGGTTAGCACTTCAAATTACCGAAATTAACGCCTCGCAGGGCGAACGCAGCGCGCTTAGGTTTTTATGGTTTGTTTTGTCGCCAAACCACATAGCTACGTATGCAAGCGAGCAGACAAACCATATGCAGAACCCGATGAGCCTGCCTAATGCCCTAGCAGCATTTGTTGGCTGTTAAGCATGCAGTTTGCTGTCACTTAACGCAAACTCCAACTCGCACACCGCGGAAATAAAAAAGAAAGATTTGACAATAGGACACAGCGATCACGACATGTGCAAGCACCAAGTGTGCGGCCCTCATGAATATTAATTTTTTGTTGATAACAAGAGTAGATTTTTGTGAGCTTATTACTAGTCATATTTTTAGACAGATATTGTGAACAGCGCATGATTTAATTGAGATCGCCGTTTCGAAAAAGTAAACAACCTGAGGTGTAATGCACTAAAACTTACTAACGTCATCAAGTAAGTAAAACGATCGAGTCTGACGTATTATCCCTTAGAAAGTGTTACTTAAAAAACTAGTAATAGCAATCTTTAGATTTCCCTAATCTTGTAACATATTTTTTACAGAAGTGAGGCTGTTCTTAGGCCTCCACATTGTTCTCGAAGATAACAAAAAAACTTGGCGTGCTCTGTAAGTTACGTTTTGGCTGATGGGCACCCGATATTCAATGAGAAGAGTGGCTGGCTTTTTTATTTTCTTTCTTTTTTTTCACGTAGTATTATTTTCCTAATTATATTAAGCAGTTCTGCAAATGTCTTACTACATCCGTGCACTTCTCTCCAGAGACTGAAATAAACCCAGCATTCACTGCATTTTATAAGTACCTCGCGTACTTTAGCACTCTGTAGCCAACGCTTCACACACAGTGTGAGTATCCGAGTCCGAAGAAACGGTAGAACAACGAAAAAAATTACAACAAGAACAGAGATGCGGAACGAAGCTGTACGCGTTGTTAGGCTGAAGCATGGAGTCATGGAGTCATACACCATCAGCCCAGGGCCAGGCAGCGAAAAAGAGCAACACGTCGAGCCACACTCGCTCTGAAAAGCCGTGCACACTACAACTACTCGATCCGCAGCACCAGACCACGAAGTGCCGCCTATAGCCGCGTGCAGCCCGAGCGCGCGCCGAGACACCGCGCGCTGCAAGATCGCGACCAGAGATACATTCTCATGAGGCTGTGAGGAGCGTTAAGAGCGAGGCATTTCCAGCCGCTCATCCCGTCGTGCATCTGTTACACTTGTTAGTCTTCTTATTCGTGCACGTGACGACGACCAGAGAGCAAACAGAACCCAAGATGGTCAGAGTGGATTTCAGTTGATTTGTTTGTCACTTTATTTGAAAAGCATTTCATCACACGATGGACAACACAGCGAAAATGACGTTCTTAACACTCCTCGGTCGGGTATCGTAGTGCGGTCCACCAGGTTTACCACGATGTACACAAATAAAAAAGTATCGCGCAAAGCTCATACCAAGAAAACAGATAAAACAATGATCCGTAACAGCACTACGTAGGATAAGAGACGGGACGTGGCCAACAGTGCCGAACGAGCGGGACAATTATACGCGGGACAGACGATACAGGGCAGCCGAACACGAGCTAAATGGCGTACGCAAGAGACTTGCTGTTCTCTAAAGCACATTCTCTTCCACACATGTATAAAATAATTGCCTTACAATCAAACACAAAACAAACTCTGGCAGCACAATTTTCATGCTTCCATCTCATTTTACAATACAAAAGTGCAACGATTGTTAACAATTTCAGTACTGCAGTAAATGACTACGAAAGGAGTCTTTAAGATGGTTTCAGAAACAAAGCTGCCGTGTCTCAAAAACAACCACTAAAGCTTGCTACAGTAGTACGTAGTACACTGTTTTATGCTCAATACAGAAACCCGTAGGTGCGCTAATGAAGCACAGAACAACCATAAACTCTTGAGTATTTTGCAGGTACTTCTTTTAACACTCTTCAATGCAATATCCTGAGGGGGGAAAATGCAAACACCTTCTGATCACCTGGCTTGTTACGTTCGGCAGAGTATCATCACTTGTACGAAAATTATGAAAAAAAGAAATATCACACATACTGCCTAAATATCTTGGACAGACACACGTGAGCGCGTAAACGTAAACATCACATAAGTTTGAAATGAAAAAAAAATGAGCCAAGAAAACGTCAACTTTAGCATTTAAAAAATCTTGCTGGTGTCGCTTAATTTGTCAGGTGTTTTTTTTTTCCTCGAAACTACTTTATTACACTGCTAGTGAAGTACGATATAAGGGCAAACTTTGCTTATCTGTGTGATACGCTATCAGTGTTCTTTTAATTTATCTATATATGTCAGTACATTTACTTGCATATTCATGCGGAGTGCTATAATTCTTGAAGTTCTGAGCGCTTTAACGTGTACGGCTACACCCAGGAAAGTTCTAAGGGAAAGTTTCTGCGCATTGTGACTTCCTAAAAAAAGACAAAACGGAGATGGCTTTCAACCGTAGGACATCGGTTGTCCGTCAAGGGTTACCCTAGGGGCTGACATCCCCAACGAATTACAGCCTTATCAGTTTACTAGTTTACTAGTTGTTTAAACAACAGTTTGCTTGTTTACACAACAGTTGTTTAAACAACAGTTTAGTAAACAACTAGTTTACTAGTTGTTTACTAGTTGACATTGTCCTCATCATTTTGAGTTACAGACCACTGATACGCAGCGACAGTTACCTTTTTGCCGATGTGATGAGTTTAACGTAAAGGTAGCCGTTTGAAAATGCCGCTAGCTCATGTGTAGTTATGTCCGAGGGCGGAAAAACAAAAGCAGAAGCGTCCTTTCAGAATAAGTAAGAGTTTGGCACAGAAAGTTTAGCTAACCACACCAAAAACTGCGTAAAAACCTGCTCCATCATCCTTATTACGATCGGCCACCATGGCCAACGCCAATAGGTGTAGCATGGGGCACCGACACAGAGGAAAGACGAGTCGCGAGCATTCCTAAGCTGCACATCACAAGCCGCCTAGGTGGTCGTCGACGTGGCCGTGTACACGTCGCCCGGCCGCGTCGCGTGACGACGCCGCGCACGGGACGCGAGTCCTGAACCGCGCAGGGCTTGGCTTCCTGTCGATGCGAGCGGAAGCGGCGACGCGTGAGCCGGCGCGAGCCCCTAGTTCTGGAAGACTTTGCGGAGATTACTCACGCCCATGGCAACGGGGGAGTCATAGCAGATGCCGGGGCTGTCGGGTGGCGGCGGCGGCTGGTCAGCCAGCGGTGCGGCCGCGACCGGCGAGTGCGCGGCGGGCATCGCCTGGGTCGGCGTGTATGGAGCTGCCGGAGTGAACTTGGGCGCCGGCGGCGTGTACAACGGCGACGAGGCTGCTGCTGCGACGGGAGCCCTCGGGGCTACGGGCACCGGGGCCGGAGCTGGCGCCGGAGCCGGGGCCGGAGCCAGCGGAACTCCCTGCGGGATGTGGCCGCCCCTGGGAAGATGCAGGAGGCACTGATTTTGGACATTTGTTTACACACGTAGCAAGCTGAAGAGTGCGCACTTAAATGGAAGCGATCGCTCTTGTACAGGCACTTGTTTTCTTCAAAAAGTCGCCGGCAGTTTATTTTGATATTCATGGACGACCAGTCACAAAACCGTTTGTGACGGATTCTGGGTACAAACTAAACTTCTGAAGATGCTGATTGCTCCCTCACTTACTCAGTTCGATGAAATGATTGGTCGCGCAGTTTTCACGCTATATATTACGTCCTCGTATTCTTCCCGTGTCTGATTATATCAAAAGTCCCTGGGTTGTTTTTAGCCCATAGGGAGGAGTACCGTCGCTGATGGCAACCTTTGTTCGTCCTGCACCAGTCTGCCGTTATCTTCACAGACGATATATAAAGATACGTTTACAAAAAAAACACGCCTTTTGTTTCGTTTTTACTTCACCCCCTATTTTACAGAGAACCCTTCTTAGTAGCCGCTGCAGTGGCAGGTTTACTTTCACGTGCTTCCGCTAATAATGATAATTGGTTTTGTGTACTATAGCCGCAGGGGTCTGATTTTGCTTTGAGTTCACTGCCAAAACTTGTATCTACTCAAACATATCTGCCTAATAAGGAGTGAAAGTCCCGCAGGGGATAAAAGTCAATTATTCCACATCGTCCCTCACATCCCATCTGCAGTTTTAAAGACATTAAGCCCCGTTTAAGAATTGTTAACAGAAATATTTATTCCTCGTATTTTCTTAAGCATAAATATTGAAAGCGTATCGCAGCCAACCAAACATGCAGAGTCCTTATTATGCTACTGGTTCGTTCATTTAGAGCTAACGCAAAAAATTAAACCATGCGGTTGTTGGCTTATCGTGTTCGGTAGAGCTATACACGGTAATCTGCAGGTGTCGCAGTGAACAGGGATAGCTGACTGCAAATGATGAACGAAAACAATGTATTCACGAAAGACAGCTTTTAGGAGAAACTCAATGAAACGCAATATGTGTGAAGAAATTCATTAAGGGCCGCTGTAGAGGTGATAGCGACGTTCTGTTGACCCTCGTTGACTACAGTATACAGGGCGTGTCAGTTAACTTGCACAAAGTGTGTTCTTAAAGGAGCACTCACATCAAATTTGAAATTTGAGATGTGCCCTTCATTCGATTGCTCGGTGTGCGTAGGTCCTCTTGAGTAAATTCGGAGATTATTGGACGTCAGGTGGACGTTATTTTCTTTCGACGGCAAACAGCGTACGAGAGTTTAATGGAAAATGGAGTGCCCTTGCGACATCGACACTACAGTGCTACATGTTCATTGTGATACATTCCACACATATCCTGAGCGATGATGTGCTAATAGTGATGACATCTATGATCCGAGTGTTCTCACCGTGACATCGAGGCCTGGAAACGCGCTCACTCGTCATGCCTGATCGTTGCACTGCTTTGATTGATTTCGTGAAATTACCAAGATGCAAAACACCCGTGGAAGATCGGCAAAAGAAAAGAGCACGATTCAACGTGTGCTCAAGAGTCACCATGACGGGGAACTATTGTGAGTTGCAGTCGTCTGGTTCGAAGCATACGAAAAGCGCGATGAAGTTGGCTCGTCATTACACGTATGTTACAAGCCAACACGACTAAAAGCTATCGAAGTGGAGTAGCGTATGAACAGATATCGTCGCTAACAAGTTACGCGCAGGTATCATTATTAGTGAACTTCAATTCATCTGTAGACCTTTTTACGTCCGCGAAATACCAGGTGGGTCACTGCCGCCGCCACCGTGAGAGGCCGCATAGGTGGGGCCATCAGGAAGCGCGAAGAAGAACCTGGCAAGCATGAAAGGCATTCTATTTCTCCGCTGGTGCGCATTCCCTATACAGATATTTCATTGACCCCTTTCCGTATACCTGAATGCTGTGCGCGCCAAAACACACCAATATAGCTAATTTAGACGCACGAGCGAGCATGGCAGAAGCATGCATCCTCGAGCACCTCCTCATTGCTGCTTGTAACGGCGCTTCATTTTGGAATCTCTGTTCTGCAAAGGGTCGATCGAAGCAAAAATGATTCGCGACGTCGCCAATTGTGGCGATTCCAAGCTCCACACTGTCGTATTTAAGCCTAGTCGACATTTTGTACGGCGACGACGGCAATACAGGTGACAATGCACGACTGAATCTGTGCGCCTAGCAGACCAGATGCTTACGGAGCAGCTGAGCCTGACGTCACTCTTTTCTCTAGAGAAGTGGTGAGCTGTGGCGCGATCTGGAGGCCACCGCGAGGCAGCACCACTGATAGCGCTCCCAGCGCTAAAATTGGCGGGATTGCCGGTCGTTTTCAATCATGCTAGATATCAGTATTATCAGTCAATAAAAGTGACAGTTATTCTCCCTCAGTTGCGTTATAGGTCGCGAATCGCTACTGGTGGTCGATATTTACTCTTTGATGCGAAAATCTTGATATGAATGAATTTGATGTCAGTGCTGCTTTAAAATTTCGCACACGCTAAAGAAAAAAATGTAAAATTACAAGAAAGTTCACACGTCAAGATATTTTCTTTTGTATGCCTAAATATGTGTACGAAACCTAACGGCGTGGCAAGCTCTGGGTCTCCTGCCCATATTCTTACCATTATCTTATGGCCTATTCAGCATGCATCTCAGCATAGCGCTCTGCTTCGTCGGGACGAGCAAATTTTTATCTAACACTTGTTGTGTAAATTGTCAATCGACACGAGCGCATGATTTTTTGCGTTCGCGCTGCTGTTTTTTATATATTAAGTTTGCCTTAGGCATGATAAATTTCAGATTAACTAGTACACACGCAAACTTAGACTCACGGTGGCACAGGGACTGGCTCCAGGTTGCTGCCAGGTGCGATGTGGCGGGCGGCCTGCTTCGCATGGATGTCGCAGTACAGCTTGTCCTTGATGTTGAAGTATCCTAGAAAGCCATGAAACACCGAGATCAGAATTCTATGCGCGTTGAACATCCTCCGTACGTACTCGCGAAAGAACACGCAGGTGCTAGACTCGCCGAGCACTTGCACTGTATACGCTGTACAGTGCGAGCTGATTGATATGTGGGGTTGGACGTACCATAAACAATGTGGGATTATTACAGACGCCGTAGTGGAGGGCTCCGAAAATTTCGACCACCTGGGGTTTTTTAACGTGCACCCAAATCTGAGCACACGGGCCTACAGCATTTTCGCCTCCATCAAAAATGCAGCTGCCGCAGCCGGGATTCGATCCCGCGACCTGCGGGTCAGCAGCCGAGTACCTTAGTCACTAAACCACCTTGGACTTGGCTTGAAGTAAGGAAATTCCTCAGGAAATCATCAGCGTTGTAGAGCACACGAGCTCCTGAACGCATGTGCTTGCACGCGGAACATTCTTAAAGAAGACATACTTCTATCCAACTTCACGAGGCACGTACCAACAGTACGGTCCACTGTTAGAAGGAACACGCAAGCTCGTGGCCAGCGCGCAGCGCAGCGCTAACTAAGCCTATTTTCTATTGTTCTAACTGCGCCGTAATATCTTTCTCTGGCTCTTGTAAGGCTAAACGATACCTCGATATTCTGTCGCCGTTTCTGTTACGTTGCTTAAATACAACAGACACCTGCTGCCAGCTCTCCTCATAACGCTGTCATGAGTGCTTCAGTGGAAAGCCGAACGAAAATAAAAAAAATTCAAAAACATTCCTGCACAGGAGAATGGATTTTCTTTATTTGAGAGATCCTTCTTCGAAACAAACTGGCAACTCCAAACTGACCCCCCCCCCCTCCCTCTGTCCCCACCTCTTGAAAGATTGCAATAATAAAGAATACAATCAATATTTAAAGACGGCACAAGCGCTTGTCTCAGCCCACCTGATGCTATCCGTGTCCGCGGGGTATGCGTGTGTGAACTAAAAAGACAAGCAACGACTAAAACTGTGTTAAGTTTACTGTAAGGTATAGAAGTTTGTGCTGTAGTGAAATAAACGCCCTCAAGCAGAAAACCATCACGCCTCGTAAGCTCTAAACCTGATCCTGGCTAACTGTTGGCTATATCCAGAAAACTAAGTAAAAATTGTCATGTGTCCAGTCTATATCTAGCACTCTGAGCGACACTGATTAAGAGTGCAGATAGATGCTGTCGTAGATAGATTTCACGCCTGGCAGATAGATACTCTGTCACAGAGCATATATCTTGCTCTCGATAATACATAACCATCTTATTTCAGTGCATCGTCAGTGCAAGCATGACATAATTAATTATTCATACATTTGCATATACACCTGCAATTGGCGCTGTAATTATTTTTCGCGCTTGTAACTCATTATGCTTCTAGTTCTAACAGATTCATCGACTGGTATGATGCATTAATCCTTAGTGCGAACTGTCCAACGAACCGTAATTTGCGAGATAGAGCTCGGAGCTGCCTTAAAAGATGATTAGACTGTAGGCATTTCAAGGCCACATATAAGGTGAAAGGAAGAGTTACGCGAATGCATTACCTTCTTTTGCTTGTTTACATCTCGTTATACTTACAAGAAAAAAAAAACAGACGTAGGTGAATCGCGTTAACTACGAAGTTTATTGAGCGTGAACGAGCGTCTCCGAAGTTTAATGACAGTACATGCATCGTGGATAGCCTCTTAATGATATCCAAGTGTACGCGTAGCGTCCTAACGTCGTTATGAAAGCACGACAATGTTTACCAATGTTCTTCAGAGAAGTTCCACAGGTGGCGCAACGGAAGCATTCAGCGTGCAGGGCGCGATCCTTGATGCGAACAAACACGCCTCTGTAACAAGAAAAAAATTGAGATATGCATAAATTACTTGTTGCAAGGCGCAAACACTTATTATCGCCGCACTTCATGCAATGGTGATGACACGGTGCAAAGTTCAATTATTTAGCAAAACAAAAGCGTCTTACGTAATGGGGACAGTGCGCGCATATACAAAGAAAGAACCGTCTCTGTATAAGTCTCCATAACTATTACTGGCTATCGGCTATTATTCACATGTCAAGTGTATACTTGCGCGCAAACAAAGAACTTGGAGGATTTTTTTTTATTTTTGCGTGCAAAAGAGTTGAGCGTGATAGTGTAATCGGGGCCCATTCATATAACCTTCTCAATCACTGGCCTAAATTCGCTTCTCGCTGTGCACACTTCAACCATGTCGCAAAGAAAGAAAAATGTGTACACATTGGTCCTCTCAAACGATCTAAGAAGTTCTAGCGCGAGTTCTGAAGTTGGGAAGTGCACGCTACGTCATCATTATTTCTTTTGCCAATCGGCGAAGAAAACACGTATCGCAACACGCGCGCTTCCATAGTTTGTTGATGCTGTTGCTGTTGATTAGGTATGCGTATGCACTTTGTAATTGCCGAGCCCTTGAACAAACTACTGGCTGTGCAATTCATATGTTTTTACGTTCGGTGCATGCGACATGCTATATACTACCACCCAGTATGACATGCGTTAAGGAGTCGCCTCGCACTACGTGGTAATCATACGGTGTTCTTCCTGAAACACTTTCAAGCAAAGGCGTCGCTGGGTCTGTGGTAAAACCCCTGCTTGCATCGCAGAAATCCAGGTTCAGGTTCTCACTCTAACCAAAGATGTTCATTGCTTATCCATTTTCGCCTATCTCGAGTTTTCACTCACGGACAAGGCTGATTTTTCACCACTCACAACCAATTTCTTCAATACCAAAAAGAAATTATATAAGTCTACCATTTGTTCAGTTAAGAGCTCAAAGCATGAGGGGTGTTTAATGCCTGAAAGCTGTTCGCAAACTATGACGTATCCTTCTGGTTTTCGCTCCAGTCTCGACACTCACGTAATAAATTTTTCCTCGCATTTATCCTTCGCCAAGCTTCAGGAAGTAAATATAGGCAACTCATAGTCAGAAAAAGCAACAACAGAAATAGAACAAATGTAGAAATTCGGGTATGCGTGCGCTGAATTCTTCTATTCTGAGACGCGCGATACACGCGTGCTTACCAGCCTAACAATCCACCCCTCCCCCCTCCCCCCCCCCCCCGCACATACCCACACATATAAGGTAACCCTCCCGAGTTCCCTTTTTCACTGATGCTCTCAGGAATACGAATTACTGCTGTTATCAGCACTTACCAGCGTACTAACCGCACCACTGCCACCACCAGCTTAAAATATTGATGTATTCTCTCGTTTCTTCAGTTTGCTTTTGACATTTTTTCCGGTTTCGTCCTTGTTTCAAAGCACTCCCGATGCCGGACGTCTCTGAAAATCTCAAGCCCGGCTTCGCGCATTTTCTTTAATTCATGAATGTGTTGCGGAAAGCACGACGAGGGAGTGGCGCAATAAGAGAAAGAAGCAACTTCAGTCGTAGCTCGAAGTGCGGGCTCTGTCTCACTAAAACGGTGCAATATTGCGCGATACAAGGCCGGTGACAATCAAGAGGGAAGCCACAGTCACAAATACTTGCAGTGGGACAAAGATTTCTCAGTTAGCCAGCATCTCCGACACCCTGTCTTTCGACTTGCGTTGTTCGCCATCGCAAAAGTGCTGGTCATTCGCGAACCTTTCTTACTTGAGAGCAAACGCATCTTTCCTTTCAAACCCCTGCTGACTCTCGTCGGCTTCCGCTGTACTGCACAGTTTTACTGGTGACAGAGCAAAGGAAGTGGCGCAGGAAGGGCAGCGACACGAGCGCCGGACGACGATCTCTCGTGTGACAAGCGTTATAAGGGCGAGCGGACGGTGGCACCACACCGGCGGAGTCGTTCAGCGTTTGATGCGCGCCGCACACGGGCCGTCCCGCTTCCCGTAATGCATGTGGCACACGCGTGCCGTGACCGCGGGTGTGGCGCGGTACGTACACGATGAGCCTTCCGCAGTCGGCGCACGTGTTGGGGGCGCCCACGGAGGTGTTGGGCTGGCCTGCTGGTGGAGCGGGAGCCGTCTTTGGGGCCTCCACGTGGCGAAGGTTGACCAAGGGTGATGGTGTCGGACTGCTGGCAGCCGCCACCGGCGAGGGCCCACCCGGCGCGGGGCTGCTGCTTCCGCCACTCGAGAAGTCTGCAGTGGAGAGACCCGCAAACATAAACTGGTCATTCCACCCAGCTGAACAATCGTCTTCATTATTATTTATTTCTTCTTTTCACGGTGTTCACTGGTCCCTTTCTGAGAGCCCGCCCTCTGATTATGCGTGAACTAAAATACTGTCCATTAAATGGAAAAGGAAGAGATACTATTTGGTAGCGATTTACTTCTTAATTCAAGGCGCGCCAGCGAGCAAGGTACAGTGTCAAAGAAAGCAAACAACGCCACACTCCCACTATCCTTCGAAAGAGGACCTATCCTTGAACAATTTGATCTCAGACTAGACTGGATATTCAAGCATGGGTGATATTTACGCATAGCTGCCGCTCTTACATCCATAAAGTTACTGTGAAAAAATTGGTAGGCAGAAGGCACACTCGGTACAAGCACATAATAGAACGCCACTTTTGCCGCAGTTTATTTTATTTTAACTTTTCTGGTATTTGTACGTTCCCGAGATCGATCAAGAAGTACCGTACTACTGCAAACGAAGGCAACATTCGCATTCTCGAATGAGAACATTTGATTCCAACATAATGCCACATCGTTTATTTTCGCAAAATTTATGCTACGTCTTCATTTAGTAATACGAAACGTTGTTATGAATAAGGTGCACGTTTTTTTCGGTCATCCCTGCCCGAGAGGCTCAGTCACTTCCATGATAATACTACGAAACAGACACACACACAAGCCTGTCCACGCTGCAGCGTGGAGCTGCATCTGTGAGGCCACGTACGCTTGCCTAATTTAATAGAGTCTCAACCTTATAAGGTTCAGACTCTATCAACTGATTCTTCTATCGTCCAAGCTGTCCTTTTGAGACGCTTGCTATTACGCTTTTTCAAACAGAAACAATCTGTAATAAAAAAAAAGAAGACGACTTGCACGTTTCGGTTTTTCTTTTTTTTTTTCGCATGGTTGCGTTGATACATCGCTCTTGGCATTTCATCTGGCATTAGGTGTTCTGTCCACAGCAGCCTGCATGCTTCGCCCACTCTAACTTTAGAGCATCCAGGTGCTTGAAAGTGTTGAAAGTGACGTCGGACGTCATCTTTCTCATTTTCCGTAATACTCCGCATGCGTCGCACACCGCTGTCGTGCACAATACGTGACGGCAGCACCGCGAGCGTGTGTGGTCACACCCGGCTCCAATGTGATGGCTCGATAGAAAATGCAAAGGAAAAGCAAGGAAGTTGGCCAGGTTGCATGTAGTGTGCTACCCTGTGCTGGTGAATGGAAAAGTTGGCAGGAAGAGAAAAAATAATACGAAAAGAAAGCGATAATGAGTGACCACGTACCTCATAGTCAATCATATCGCAGTTTCTGCACGTTAAGGCCAATAACTGGCAACCTTGGGTGCTCGAATGTTCTCTCAGATTGCACGCACACCTAGAATTTAAACTGATTTACCGATCGTTCTGTTGATGCGAAAAGTGAAGTTGGGGCAAAAATACACCATTATCGCCCTTTAATCGGTGTTCGAAATACTGTTTGCAGTACTTCTCCCGTATCCGTCTTCCACGGCGTGTCAACGGAATTTATAGATGCCAGTTATACCATCAGCACCCTGCCCCCCCCCCTTTTTTTTTTGTATTCTCAAGCAGCAACGCTCTTCTGTAGCTCCCACAAAAATGCTCGCCTTTAGAAATGTGCCCTAAACGTTCGTTCTGATTAAGTAACCATACGTCAGCAAAGGATCATATGCCGTTTTCATTCGAATACGGCCAAATAGCTGCGAATTAGAAAGCGTCGTTTCTAACACTTTTCAAGCACACCGTAAACACTACAGTAGAATTTCAGGCCAATAATAATTTCTAGATGACGGTACTTCCTAGAAAAGCGTTTTCACCTAATAGTTTTGGCTGGTACACCAGCCTTAATCAGACATCTATATTTTACTGACAATTTTTTTCAAAGTTGACAAACACTTTCGTGTGTGGGGGGGAGGGCAAAGACAAAGATTATGTTTATAGCACCTTGAAATCGAAGAAATTCGAAATAATGAATTTAATTCAAGCTACTCTATAATGCTTTTAATAAAGTAGTTAGACAAAAGCATGTGTTTTCTGCGTCAGCAAGTCTCTAGTTGGGGCCACCGTTATAAATCGTTCATAGCTAAAGGAGCGTTGTCGCACGGGCCTGTGCTGCGGCTAGAAATGCTTTTCACGCGTAGACCTCGTCATCCGAATGTCACCCTATGATTCGTTAATTTACACTGCCAATATACGAAAGAGAGAAAAATATTTTAATGAAGAGCTGTAGATGTTTGTCTGGCTTTAAGCCTGACATGCTGCTGCAGGTGCTGGGTGATGATTATGATATATACACTAATAAACACATAGCACATACAGACACACACACGTGAACTACAATATTTACAACGTTTTGTTCAGGCTTCAGGCCCGCAAGAAAGTCAGCAGCACTTTCGTGGTGCGTAGGCACTAGTCGTACTAATGTATGTCACGATCACACTCACAAATGGGAACAATCGAATGCACAATTTCTACTACAAATAATTTACTTACCTTTTGGCAACACAGCTGACTGTTAATAACAGGCTTAAAAAGTAGCATTAGTTTTCACACACAAAATTATAGGCTTTGTAAAAACCACACACGCAGCACATTCACTTATCGTTCGGACTTCATTATCAACACCAAATGTTATATATACATATTGAAGTCCAAGTACAGAACAAACATACTCGATGCAAAGCTATAGTGCGGGATAACGTATACTCTGACTGAGACTTTAGAAAAGCAGCATTTCTGTGGGCAATAAAAACATGCTTCATTGTGTTAACATGAAATGTCGTCTAATAACACATTGTTTAAGGGGGCATGTTTTATCTTCAAACCACGTGTAAAATACATTTGCTTTGTAAATATATGGGCAAAGTGTGAAGCTTGCACAGACAGCGCGCTTTTCAAGCCGAGTTATCAGCCTCTGCACTTGGGAAAGTTGAAAAAGGTTGCTAGGGCAGATGTTTGCTCGTAATGATGCATGCACAAAAACAAAATGCTAGACGTGCCTATCTTGCGGGGCTATCTAGTAGACGTAAGTTGCACTACCTACTGTATAATATTTATTAACTGCCAGTTAGCTATAGTAGTTTGCATTGAAGCTAAAGCTTGGAACACATTCTCTACATCTAGGTTTCTTCGTTTCCGTCGACTGAAAAGTTCGGGCCTTTCATTCTGGGCACAAGCATATGTCATTAAAGTTTAGTTTCTTCATTCTACTTCTGTTTTCATTATGTGTTTCACCAACGTAAAACTATTACGCTAGAACAAAGCTCGGCGAGAAGCGTTGCAGTATTTGCTGTTATTTTGGTTACCTTCTCTTGTATTTTCTTGCCAATACTAAAAATTGTAATGTTTGGTTACAATATAAACTAGTAAATGAAATGGTGGACCAGGTCGATAATGCCGAATCACGAAAGTTAGAGAACTGTTCTAGTCGGTGTCTCAATTTAATTTGGTTATTAGTATTAAAAAGGCGTGCCAGATCAAGTTGATTGCTGTTAAACAAACACTCGGCTTGACACTGATTAGTGACGTGCCTTGATGTACACATAAAATGGCGCTTCCCTGAAGCAATCTAAAACAAGCTTGAGGACTGACTCAAACTGTACTGGAAATACGAAAATGTCAACCTATATTCGTCGTTCTGTTTTCACGTTTCAACTTGACTGGCCGATCACATCGCAGTTTTTGCACGTTAAGAGCCCAGAACTTGTGAAGCCAGGTGATCGAACGTTTTCACAGATCGTAACCTAGAATCTACATTCATTCACGGATTGTTTTCTTTGTGCGAAAAGTCAGAAGAGGCCGTTGATCTCGTGCTTTTAGGTGAGCGTTCCTCGTCTGCTACCAACGTTTCAGCATGAAAACTCGCCGGTGGCAGTTACTCGCGTAAGAGCACCACGAATAAGAAACAGTGCCGAGTTGGCGCCCTGCGGCAAAGCATGCAGGGCAGCGTGTTAAGAGAGGAGGGGAATGCATGCGCGGCACGCACAAACCTGTGACGTCATGCGAGGGGGAGCGCAGGCAGTCATCCTCATCGCCGAGCACATCCAGCAGCTTTCTGAAGGCACGCGATTGCGTCCGTGTTTCAGACACACTGATCAGGTCGCTCTCATCACCTTTTGGGTGCTTGTCTTCTTCCAGGACCATGCGGTAGACGGCCGAGTCCTTGTTAAGAGGTTTGTCTCCCTTCATGAAGTTAATGCTGCATTGAGAGGAGAAAGACGGGCTGTCACCCAAAGATGCGCAAAGGTTTACAACAACATAAACTACATCTATCGATGTCGGGCCTTTCTATGCGCTTGCGCTCTTTAAAAGGTGGGCGACCTCGCAAATGTCGCACAGTAACGAACACATTACTACTAGCGAGGGTCATTGATCAGTGATCGGGAGGAACGATATTTGATGTTATAGCTGCTGCGTTCGAGAGACAATGCTTGTTCGCACTCTCAACGACGTCATTCAAAAATAAGACTACAATGCACTATGAACCTAGCAGCTGCCGTTACGCTTATTTGTTTAATTGGCGGAGCATCGCTTGAATACTCAAAGAACAATTAGTGGCATCTTATAGGCTGTTGGCGGGAGCCTTTTATCGGGGGAAAATGCAGGTATCCTCAAAATGTTCATCCAATAATGGGCTTGTATATTTTTGCTAACTCCGTACAGAAAACTGTATTACTGGTCACAATAAAATTTTCACCTACACCTGACTTTTCTCAATTACAATCTCTCTCTCTCTCTCTATTTTTACTGTAGTTAAGGGTCATATGCAGGAATTCCGGTGTCTGTGGCGTTGCTTGTGCAGAAAAAAAATTATGATGTAAGTAAATAATAAAAATCGTGGCCCTAAGTAGAGCCCTGGTGGTCAGCGTAAGATGTTCTACCAACGAACTATACAATTCCTTGAATTTGCGTTGTACAATAGCCGTGTACAGGGATCAATTATATAGGGTGAATAGTTACGTTAACATATGGGTACCGCGATCAGAAGCGTATAGAATAGCCCCAAGCGTCGTACAATGTGGATTGCACAACGAGTGGGTGGCTTCAATGCGCCTTTCTTGTTATGTGCCATTCTGTGTGGCTTCTCTTCTTAAAGTTCCTTAATCTTTATGTTTCATTTTTTGGTTTATACTACGTGCTGCTCTTATACCTACTGCAGTGCCGCCCGGCTTTACGTGGCGCTCTAAGTGACAGTGTGCACTCACCCGACGGCTCCCGATGTGAGGACCTCCGTCTGTGCGGACAGCGTGTCAGCGATGTTGTTCATGGAGTACACGGGCATGGGAGAGTTGTACTGGTTGTGCACCACGGCCTGCATCGTGCCGCCGAAAGGCTTGGCTGCCGTGTTGTGCCCCGAGCCTATCGGTTTGTACGGCTGTAAAAAGAGAAAAAACACCGTTGTACATGACCCGGCACTCGGACACGGCCCACCGTCGTGTAACACAGCGAATTCCGCGGGAGCATGAAAAAGAGGCCCCTAGTCACACGCAGATCTTAGATATTCGCGTAGCGCCTGATTCAGAAGGTGTGAGTTCCACCCTTACACTATGTGCTGCCAGAGCGCTGCCTCAAACTTAACGACTTGTCACGGAAATCCCTACACATCCCCGTTGTTTATTTTCTTTTATTTATTTGTTACATCTACCTACAGCTCCCTAGTTGGGCATTATCTAAGGGACTCAATTACACATAATAACTTAATGAAACGTAGCAAGTCTTCATGATCAAAATGGTACGTTGGTACATAGAGACATGACAGTAATAATAATGATAAAAAGTGCGCTAGACCGTCAATTTTCGCGACTTAATTCATAGGAAGTTGTCAAACGCAGAAGAAAAGTTTTTTGCACATACTATATTATCAGGAAGCAGATTCCATTGTTCAATTGTTCTAGGAAAACATTGAGAACTTAAAAACGTTAATACGACATCGGTAGGGCCTTAGTTTTCTTGAATTACCGCGTCTCCTAGAATGATAATCAGGCTGTTTTACATATATGTTGGTGTCGATTCCCGTGTTACCTCTTTAAATGTTGAACAAAAGTTTTAGCCTGATTATCCTTCTTCGTGTGGAAAGTAACCTCCACCCTAGTTTTTTTTTTTTTTCGTTTGTGGACTTCGAAGCCCGGTTTCCCGTTGATTTCGGCAGCAGTGCACAGGAGGGCTTGTTGGTTGGTGGTAAGTTTATTGAATTGTTTTGCAGGATTCATAGTAACCCGGACTCTAGACCTATTATAAATATTATTGTGATTACTAACATTATTATTTTATTATTATTATTATTATTATTATTATTATATTATTATTATTATTATTATTATTATTATTATTATTATTATTATTATTATTATTATTATTATTATTATTATTATATATTATTATTATTATTATTATTATTATTATTATTATTATTATTATTATTATTATTATTATTATTATTATTATTATTATTATTATTATTATTAGCTCCAGTGACGCTTACTCATAACAGGCAACATGTATAAAAGCTTCAGTGAAACAACACCCTCAACGAAACTGAAAGAGTTGTGCTGTACTTCAGGAAGAAAGTTAAATACTACGGACTTGTGGAACCAGAACTTTTCCAACAGGTGTATGCCATTTTACTCAGATTTCCGGATTTGTCAAATCTAAAAACGACCACATGCAAACACAGAGTTTGAAAAACTGAAACTGTGTGCGAAAATTATATATCACAATCAATAAAGCTGCGTCCATTAAGTCATGTATCACGATGAAAAGTTGCGCGCTGTAGATATAATATTACGTGCAGCTTACAGTACCGTGAAACTATAAACTCGTACTATTTTTATTTCTATTATTGCTGAATTATAGTAGTCCATTTTAAGTTCCATACAATGGTATATTGCTGTTTTGCTTTTCATAAATTCTATTTATCATTTTTCATTGTCCATCAAAACACTTTTATGGTTTAATTGAAACAAAGCTTCATACAGTGTCTACGCTTTAAACTCTTTTGGATAAAGGAAACCTGCTCTAGTTTGGTACACAACTTGCGGATCAAAGTCATGCTTTCTGCGTATTCATCAAAACTCCCTCGCTTAGGCTTTCTCGTACAATACCAACCAACCATCACCCAAACGCCATGTATGTACTCCGAAATTATCACTAGCTTACCAGCGTTCTTTTTTCTCTGTGAGCCAGATGTGCTACGTCAGAGAAAACCCACGCGTGCTATTCGCACATTATGAAACACCGTGGCAATGTAGGCAGCTTGGTCTATAGGTTGTGGGAAAGCGCGCAGACTCATGTCTCTACGATACTCTCCGTAATTCCCTCACCTGTTTGTTCGCAGCCAGCGACGTCTTCGTAACCGGGGCCGGTCCTCCATTGCTCATCGGACTGGGCTTCGGCAGTGACCCTACTGGGGTCACCTTCGGCTTCCACGTCATGCTGGCACCCCTGCAAGCGCCACATTTTGCTTCAGCTTCGTGTTAACGTAATCACGTCACTGGTGGCGGGATAAAAATGTTGCTTTCCTGGTCAGCAAAGACTAATGTAGCAAAGTGTTAGGTTTCTCGTCTACTGGTGGCTGTGCTTGCCAATCTGAGTGGTTGTTAGTCAGTAGCGGTGAATTCGCTGTAACGTTTTGCATCGGTTCCGTTATAGTGCCTAGAATATACTGGCTAGTGCGAATTCGCGGTGTTCTAGGTAGCACCACAGGTTGAATAAATGCCAGCGCCTGCCGCGTGGAGCGCTGCAGAGTGTGTGGGTGCCGCAGACGGTGGTTTCACAACACGGAGAGCACTCGAATTTTGGGAAGGTAGAGAGCAAAAGATTCTCCGGAAACACACCGAAAGCCCCAGAGTTAAACCATGACTGAAAGGTAATGCCATATAGTTTATAGCGTGCTAACAGCCTGAAGGTGAGAGTTTCTGCACGCCAGTGTCTAATTCTACATTGTGTATGCACATTGTAAGCAGACGAATGTTTTATAAGCTGAAACAGAGACAAATTTTTTTTATCAAAGATCATCGATGGACATCTCGACGCACAGCCGCGCACAGAACGGCATACACGAGAGGCGCGTTGTGCGCGTCATGGCGAAATAGTAGGAAAGACGCTGCTCACACAGAGGGAGATAAATAAGCAAAGAGTAACACGAGATTTTCTCTTCTTAAGGCTGACGTATGGTACCCCGATCCATAAGCCCATATGATACCATCCTCAGAATCGTTAATGAACCATTTCCTTCCACACCATCCTCCTTTATTTCTTCTTGAGAGACCTAAAGGTGGCCGCCTATTACTTTGCCTACAACCAGAGGACAAGCCACATGCATGGCAGAGGCAATCCAGATGTGCTAGACAGCAGCCGAAATATACCAGACACCCGCCACAGCGTCTTCTTCTGTCGCCACATGGTTATTTCTCACATCCTCGGGGGAGGCACGACGCGCCTTTTTATGGTGCGTCTCAGAGACATTTCTTTTACTGTGCGCACGTAGATGGCATGTATGTATGTATGTATGTATGTATGTATGTATGTATGTATGTATGTATGTATGTATGTATGTATGTATGTATGTATGTATGTATGTATGTATGTATGTATGCATGTATGTATGTATGTATGTGTGTGTATGTATGTATGTATGTATGTATGTATGTATGTATGTATGTATGTATGTATGTATGTATGTATGTATGTATGCACCGGTGCTTGTTGTGTGCGTGAGGAAGGGACGTTGTGTTTGTGTCTCTGTGCTGTCTCTTTCTCTTTTCACTTTTCTTGCACTGCAACGCCTGCAACGACGAAGCCAAACAAAATCTTCGCGCAAAGTGCAATTAGTTCTTAGGAAGAGTACAGTGCATACAGACGGGGAGGGAGTGAAGGAGAAACGAGACCCGATTCACTCTGCCCTGCGCGTGTCGTAATCTTGCAATACCATCTATAGCTCCAGAGGTGATCCACGAAATTCCGTGTATTTTAACTCGGCTGTAGAAGGAATGACACAATCGTTTGTACTGTCAACCACAGCCCATAATTCCTCACAGAGTTCAGATTATCTGTAGGGCTTATCTGCTTAGTCGTGTCTCGTGCGAAGACTGCAGGCAATTTCGTGAGAGCAGCGCTGTGTATATTTAGAGAACGCGCGAGCAAGCACTTCGCTATTCATGAGCAGTAATTCGGTCTGTGCTAAGTGGACGTTTAACAGATGCGCAATTATGTTTTCAATGAAGAACACTACAGGTAATTATATCCGCAGTATAATATTTGGGATTTGACGTCCGAAAACCGCGATATGATTGTGAGAAATGCCGTAGTGGAAGGCTTACGAAATTTTGACCTGTGCGGGTTCTTTAATGTTCACCTAAGTCAAAGTACACGGACCTCAAACATTTTCACGTTTACCGAAAATGCAGCCGCCGCCGCCGGGATTTGATCCCGTGACCTTCGGGTTAGCAGACGAGTGCCATAACTACTAGCCCACCTCGGCTGGGCGCATTCATTCATCTCCGTAAACGCACATGTATGCTTTAAGCAAGCTATATCGCGCACACAACAACACACGCGCACACACACAGACACAATCGCATGCGCGCATGAACACACCCAGGGAGCTAGGTATGGGAGGCAAGGGAGCTTGACTGCCAGTCGTCCGGCCGCCAAGACCCCATACCGACCAAACTATACCGACCAAACGAAGAACTAAAAATTATATGACCTTTCAGCTCGCGGTATTTGAATCTCTGTACACAATAAAATAATCTTTTTTATATTAACAGAACTTTTTGTCTATTATTCTGAGCAAGCTCCTGTGTGGAAAGCCGGAACGTCGTTAAATTAATGAGGTAGATAGTTTGACGATGAGTCACCTGGCCGGGAGGAGGCATGATGAAAAAAAAACAAAATGAATGAACGCCGACCAAAAAATGAAAATTTTCAAAATACTACAAAACTACGTACCAGCTTTGGTATAAGGACATTGACACGTACTTCTTTTAGTTTTTTAAGCCTTGCTATTCTGCTCAGCCTTTATTCATTTCGTTTGTTTGTTTATTTTTCACTTCCTCATTAAATTTCAGTTCTCCTTTTGGTCAGCGTGGAATTTTGTAATTGTTCATTATTGCAGGGCTGACGAAGAGGAAGGGCGTGTCGCTACAACCGCTCATGCATCTGGACTATATGTACCTGCTTCTGTGGTTTTTTTTTATTGATTGATTGTTTTAACATCCCGAAACTACCATATGATCATGAGAGACGCCGTAGTGGAGGTCCCTGAAAATTTCGACCACCTGGGGTTCATTAACGTGCACCCAAATCTGAGCACACGGGCATACAACATTTCCACCTCCATCGGAAATGCAGCTGCCGCAGCCGGGATTTGATCACGCGACCTGCGGGTCAGCAGCCGAGTACCTTAGCCACTAGACCACTACGGCGGAGCTTCAGTGTCTTTTTTCTTTCGATTCGTGCATTGTTTCTCGTATCACACAGCAACGCTATGCATGGTTTTCTGCAAGCTAAGTTACAACTATCATGAGCGGAAGCGGAACTGTATAAAAAAACTTACAGAATTCGTTGCCGGTTAAAAGAAAAAAAGAACGGCTGAGCAGATATAAGGCTAAAAAGTTTCCGCGCTGGCGGCGTGTACAGAAATTTTTTTCAGCTTCTATCGTTTTCACCAAAGCTTAGGTTACCGAGTACAAATATTACCCAACTAAAAGCGAGAACCCTTTTAGAAAAACTTATGGCATTTTAGGCAGGTAAAATTCACTTTTTTTTCTGTTGTCCTCACTTCATGGGACGGTGTGATGACAGGACGCCCGCAGGAAAGACTGTATTTAGAGAACATAGTCACGGTGAGTAGAGTAGGTTGCTATAACGCAGATGTCAAGAGTGACGTATCGCGAGGTAACAACATACACCGTGACAAGCAGGATGTTCAGCTGACGGTAGTGCAAAAAGATGCGACTCACATTAATGTGCGATGCAAAGCTTCAATCAGTAGAGCACTACGGCTGAGCGACGATGATCAGGATGACACAAAGAAAAGCCGAGTCTCAGCCTCACCTCTGAATCTGGAGCTCCAGGTAATTCCCGGCACGAACAATGGCGTCCTGTGCTTCCTTGTGACGCATCTGGTCGGTCGACTTGCCCTGGATGCTGAGCAGGGCATCGCCCGTCTGCAGGCCACCCTTCTCAGCCAGGCTGCCGGGGTTCACCTGCGAGGCGACAAGACGCCGGGATGGTCAGTACCTACACGACCCCTATAGAGCACGCTACAGACCGCCTTCTAATAGTAAGCCTTATGATCACCGATAGGTGCCATAGAATAAGAGCAGCTTCGCGTCGTGTCATAAAAGTAGCCAAGGCAATGCTCGCAAGTGCTGCAGCTATAATTTCATAAATATGAACTTATCATGCGCACAATCCTTTCCGCCGAATGTTTCATGGAGAATAAAAGCAGGACGAGTCAAACATTGACGTTTTCAAACGCGAAGCATTTCTTAGCGGACTTCGGCGTCTTTGATCGAAGATGTCTGTCTATCTATCCACCTACAACATTTAGCTCTCCTGGTCATTTCGATAATCGGATCTATGCCAAAAGTAGTATAGAACGACTTGACTCTATGACGAGCAAAAGGGACTTGTCACACCATGAAATTCACTGTTTATGTCATGAATGTCATAATTTACATGTCATGGTCTTGCTGTTCTTTCAGTAGTTTCGTTCACGTGACATGTTCCAAAACTGGTATGGTATCACATGACTACATGGCGAAGTAAGTGGGAGGCCCTAACGTGGAAATCATGACATGCATGTCACATAAGTTATGACTATACGCCACGCTCATGATGCTCTCGTAGCCAATCCGTTAGCTTCACATATACCAAATTTGGTATTACGAGACGCGAATAGACGACGAAGGTAAATGACATGTTTAATCATGATAATCAAGACATTCGTGTCATGTGAGACATGACTACATGTTACGCTCATTGTGCGCTTGCGGCCGTTTCGCTAGCTTCGCGTATACAGGGTGTCTCACATAACTTGAGCCAAGAATTTGAAAGTGAAAGGCACATAGGAGGCGAATTGAACCAAACGCATACAACTCTCACTAGCCTTTAGGTACTCAAGCTATTGTTATTTCTTCCCATAATAATTATTTATTAATTCTCAATTACCTACTTTTTAATTATATGCAGCAAACCTCAAATATGAACACTGAGATGTAGAGCACTTTCAGAAACCACCGACTAAATTGTTTCCTATACTATGCGTCTCGCGCTGTTAATTTTTTCACGTTATAAAGAAAGCCGGCGAAATGTGTAAAGAGGCGGTGTGACGGACCGCGAGCGCTGATGTAAGCTTTCTTTACAACGCGGAAGAAATAACAGCGCTAGACGTATCGCACAGAAACAATTTAGTTGGTGGTTTCTGAAAGTGCTCTACATCTCAGTGTTCCTATTATGGGTTTCCAGCTCTTAAATAAAAAATAGGTAATCAAAAATTATTAATTATAAGTATGGGGAGAAATGAAAAATAACTTGAGTACGTACAGGCTAGTGTGATTAGTACGCGTTTGGTTCAATGCGTCATTGAAGTGTCTTTCATTTTCAAATTCTTGGCTCAAGGTATGTAGGACACCCTGTATAAAATTCGGTGTTAGGTGACGTGAATGGACGACGAAGTTATATGACTGGTGCAAACATGATAATAATGACATGCGAGTCATGCAAGAGCATCACTACACACCAAGCTCATGATGCGCTCGTGGCCGTTTCGCTAGCTTCATATATACCAAACTTGGTATTACCTGACGTAAATGAAGAGCAAACACAAATTTCAGACGCAAACATAATAATCATGACATTGAAGTGATGTACCGCATATTATACGCCCGCCTCGTAACGTTCCGCTGATTTTAAAGTGACATAGGAACCTTCCTCATTCGTACTTCGCATATCATCAATTCCCACTGTATCTGCCCATTTTTTTTTACTTTGCTACAGCTACTCTCCGCGGGTTGTAAACATGATCTTGCCACCCCTGTTCGCAAGCACTTCGCGAACGACAAAACTCAAGCGAAAAAAAAAAAACAAGAAAAATTTGCACGTGATGCACCACCTGTAGAGTTTGGGGCTTTTTTGTCCCTTTGGCTTCGATAATTCGGGTGATATTATTATCTGGTGTTCGACATTCCCTAACCACGAGATGACCATAAGAGACGCCGTAGGGAAGGGCTGCGGCAATTTCAATTGATTGATTTGTGGGATTAAACGTCCCAAAACCACCATATGATAATGAGAGACGCCGTAGTGGAGGGCTCCGGAAATTTCGACCACCTGGGGTTCTTTAACGTGCACCCAAATCTGAGCACACGGGCCTACAGTATTTCCGCCTCCATCGGAAATGCAGCCGCCGCAGCCGGGATTCGATCCCGCGACCTGCGGGTTAGCAGCCGAGTACCTTATCCACTAGACCACCACGGCGGGGCTGCGGCAATTTCAATCATGTGATGTTCTTTAACGTGCACGGACATCGCGCACTGCACGGGTCTTCACCATTTTGCCTCCATCAAAATGCGACCGACACAGCCGGGATGGAGCGCGATACCTTCGGGTCAGCAGCCGAGCACCGTATTCACTACTCCACCGAGGCGAACTTCATAATTTGGTTATTGTGTTTTCCTTTTCTCTGGCAGTACATGCAGCATCTACTGTGACAAACCTTAAATAAAATAAATAGATAGCAAAACATCGGGACAGGGTCTTCATTCTAGCATACTTGCTGAAAAATTTTGAATCTTCAGAGATCAGTTAACCTTGTGAGGACTAATGGTGAGTATCTCCACCTAAAACTACCCAGAATATGATGTTGGTCTGTAACTTCTTTCTTTTCTATTTTAATATGTTTCGTTTTGGCCCGTTTGCTTATACTTCCCTTTTATGCTTTGCTGTGCTCATTCAGTCACAAACTCAGATTATGGTAAAAAAAAGCTGCACTCCATTTGCAATAATGAGTGCACCTACTGCAATTTGGACACCAAAAGAGAGACCACTCGCACTGGGCTGAATATTATTTCTTCACCATCGTCATAAGCCTGACTATGTCCACTGCAGGACAAAGACCTCTTCCATGTTCCGCCTGTCAATTCGGTCCTGTGCTTGCTGCTGCCACTTTAAACCAGTAAACTTGCGAATCTCATCTACCCACCCAACCTTCTGTCTCCCCTTGACCCGCTTGCCTTCTCAAGGAATCCAGTTAGTTACCCTTAAACACCAGTGGTTATCCGGCCTACGCGCTACCTGTCTGACCCATGTCCATTTGTTTTTCTTGATTTCAACTATGACATCCTTCCCCCCGGTTTGTTCCCTGATCCACTCTGCTCTATCCTTGCCTTTTAAGGTTATACTTATCATTTTTCTTTTTATCGCTCGCCGCGTCGTCCTCTATTTAAACTGAACCCTTTTTATAAACCTCCAGGTTTCTGCTCCGTATACGCAAGTGCGGGCAAGATGCAGCTGTTATATACCTTCCTCTTGAGGGATAGTGGAAATCTGCCAGTCATGATTTAGGAATGCTTGCCGAACGTGCTCCACCCCATTCTTATTCTCCAACTACTTCATTCTCGTGGTTCAGCTACGGGGTTACTACCTGTTCTAAGTAGATATACTCTTTTACCCCTTAAAGTGCACTGCCACCTCTCTCGAAGCGCTGTTCTCTTCCTAGGTTGTTGTACATTACCTTTATTTTCTGCAGATTGATTTTAAGACCTACCTTTCTGGTCTCCTTGTTTTATTCAGTAATCACGAGTTGAAAGTCTTCCCCTGAGTTACTCAGAAATGCAGTGACATCGGCGAAGCGCAATGAAACAGACGGATGGCCGTTGGTTAGTCAGCGTAACCAAATGAACAACAAAGGATGGAAAATGAAGCCTAGGACGCTAGCGATTTAGATATCGGGGGACGATATCGTTACGGGAAAGAAAGTAAATGAGCAAAATATATTTCCGAGCAAATACGCTGCTGCTGTAAAATGCGTTCGCTCAGCATTTCGTCGTTATCATTCTAGGTAAGCTTCTCAGTCAGTGACAATATAAAGAAGTTTGCCGGTATTAGGTAGGTAGGTAGGTAGGTAGGTAGGTAGGTAGGTAGGTAGGTAGGTAGGTAGGTAGGTAGGTAGGTGGGTAGGTAGGTAGGTAGGTAGGTAGGTAGGTAGGTAGGTAGGTAGGTAGGTAGGTAGGTAGGTAGGTAGGTAGATAGATAGATAGATAGATAGATAGATAGATAGATAGATAGATAGAAGATAGATAGATAGATAGATAGATAGATAGATAGATAGATAGATAGATAGATAGATAGATAGATAGCTGGATAGATAGATAGATAGATAGATAGATAGATAGATAGATAGATAGATAGATAGATAGATAGCTGGATAGATGGATAGATAGATAGATAGATAGATAGATAGATAGATAGATAGATAGATAGATAGATAGATAGATAGATAGATAGATAGATAGATAGATAGATAGATAGATAGATAGATAGATAGATAGATAGATAGATAGCATTCTTTTATTGATAACCCCGGAAATCTTAGTCTAGTTGGTTGCCTGGCTACTCTAGGTGTCTGGTAATGGCCATAGTATATACAAAACAATTATTAGGTGCAACATCCTCAAACCACGATATGATTATGAAAGATGATGAGAACATTCGACCAACTGGTATTCTTTAACGTGCACCTAAATTTCAGTACACGAGCCTCAAGCATTTTCACCTCCTTCGAAAATGCGGCCACCCCGGCCAGTATCGAACCTGCAACCTTTAGGTCAGCAGTCGAGCACGTTAGCAACTAGTCTACCACGACGGTTAGTAGGGTGTATGGCACATACTATGGTCCCTAAAATACGCCAACAGCGAAATCAGCCGGCACAATATAAGGTAAGTAAGAAATCACGGGCCAGAGACCCTTGTCCTGCAGAAGACAAGTAATAGGTTCGGGAAGCAATGGCTATTATATTTGCGTATACAGATTCAATGTATTCTATTTCCGTACACAAATTCAATGTAGTGGTGCTGCTTCTGACAGCACGAAACCGAAGAGAATGAAAGAGGGAGTCTAATTCGAGAGTTATGTTGTGTCATATGTGGCAGAAAACAAGATAACAAAAACTTGACCCGTGTAATTTAGATATTGATTATCTTA